GTCTGTCTGTCTGTCTGTCTGTCTGTCTGTCTGTCTGTCTGTCTGTCTGTCTGTCTGTCTCTCTCTGTCTCGCTCTCTATTTGGCTGACCGGGGGTTGCTTGTGCTTGGCAGCCACCTGCACCGATGTGAGCAGGTGGGTGGCTCCAAACCCATGGGGGCGGGCCCGAGACAGCATCAAGAAGGCCGCAAACCAACCCAACAGTCGTGAAACCCTATTTAGCCAAAATAGGTTTTCTTTTCATGCGGCTTGCCTGTTTGAGCTGCTCAGCACAGTTTCCTTACCTACTGGGGCTGGCTAGGGCCCGAGACAACATCAAGAAGGCCGCAAACCAATCCACAGTCGTGAAACCCTATTTAGCCAAAGTAGGTTTTTTGATGCGGCTTGCCTATTTGAGCTGCCTCTTGTTTGCAACTGCAAAAGGCACAAAAGCACGAAAAAGTCTTGGGGGTCGCCTTCCAAGGGTCGTTGGAAGATTGATTCACAAGGTACCCGCGAGGATTGACTTCACAGTTCTATAGAAGAAGTATCGGCGAGCATGAACAGGGATGAGCTAAATTATATATATATTTTAATACACATATATATATATTATAGAAAATTGTATATATATATATTGTATAAGTTTATTGTATGTATATATATATATATACTCATTTGTTTGCATGAACCGGTCCAGTCAGGTTCGGGTGTGCAGCATGGTCGACTGCCACATGACATCTTTGGGTCATGTCTTTCGGGAAAAAATCGAAAAACAGCAAGGACGGAATGGTCTTTGGTGCACTTCCAGCTGTTGCTTCTTTTGGAGAGGATTCGCTGCGGTGTTCGCATCTGACAACTACGTTTGTTTGCGCGACTTGATTGGGGACATGTGGTCCATAATTTCGGACACGACGGCACCTCTTTGCCGCTTTGCAAGCCCAATGTCGCTGACCTTCACAGCGTGCTTGCAAGCCGGGTTTTTCTTTCTCTGCTTGTATTGAGATCGCTTCTTTCCCTTGTCACTTCAGGGCAGGCGAGATCTCTTTGCCACCCACCATTGCGCAACGCGTGGCGCTTGAAACCAGAAATCTTCGCACACCGCTGGTGTCCAACTTGTCTACATCCGGGCCAGACATCACTAAGGTGCTGCTCCATGAAGTGACCTGAGACGTTGTCAGACACATGTTTCTGGAGCTCCAAGACGCGACTGAACGTCCTCTCACACATGGCAGACTTCGTCTGTGTGAGCAAGTAGCTCAGAAGCACCTTGTGAGCTTCTGGATAGGTGTCAAGCTGCGCCTCAGCAAGCACTCGCAGCCACAAATCAAAGATTTGACTGAAGCTGAAGGAAAGAAAGATGCAGAAACCGAACCAGCTGAAGCTGAAGGCAAGAAAAATCAGAAACCAACACATCTGAACCGCATGAAGTTGAACAGGGTAAAGCCGAACCGTCGCCAGCGCAAGTTTGCTCTGAAGATGAAGAAGGCCGTGGCACTTTCAAGGTGTGGGGGTCGAGCCTGCTGTGTTTCCCAATTGCCTACATCAAAAATCACGCGCAGTACACTTGGAACTATGTCGAGATTTTCTGGTCAGGTGAGAGGCTATTTGACTAACTCAAAATCAACATTCCCAGCTGAAATTTTTGCCTGGCAGGACCTCAAGCCTCATGGCTCAGAGCTGAAGGTGGGTCCAAAAGTGGAGGAGAAGACGAAAGAACTTGTGAAACGACTCTACAATCAGCTTTCCCAAATACAGCCAAAATAAATGACGCGCCCACCTCCCAGTCTTCCAACGTCCGACCTGCGAAAACGACAGGTGGATTGGAGTCGGCGCCGGGCTCGCTGGAGCGCAACTGGCAACTTGTCGCCTCGGCAACCCAAGCTGATTGTATTTGGGAAAGCTGATTGTCAAAGCGCGTCTTGAACCAGAAGCCTTTTAAAGGCCTTGAACGGTTCCATGAATTCGCTTGTCAGGGACAATGTCTTGGCTTTTCTAGTTTTCCAGGTAATTATATAGTACCTGGACCCTCAACAATTAAGAATTTTCTTCACTATTGGGATTTCTTTCCTATTGGGCTGGCTTGGCCGATTCCAACCAAAAGTGATGGTTTCAACCAAAATTGAACGCTAGCGCTGCTCACTGCTCCTTTTCTTTTCTTGGCGCGCACACTTTAACGGGTCCAGTGGAACACCTGTAAGCCGCAGTGCAAACAAGTGTGCGACCAATGAACATTTGACCGGTTCAAACGGATAGAAAGCGTGCAGGGCCGACTTGCAGTTTGTACACAAGGTTTTTGTTGTTGGGTAGCAGGTCCCTTTTCCACTCATCATCCCAAGGGAAACCTCTCTGTTCTAGTTGTGTGATGGGAGCTCGATGAAACCTTTTTTGCGTACTTTAGCGGGTTTTTGTGTACTATTTGCATGCTTTTGCGTACTATTTGCGGATGTTTCTGTAGTGCTTGTGTCTTGCATCTTTACACATTACATGTTGCATATCGAGTCGAGTGAAAACGAATAGCAGCATTTGTTGAGGGATGCTTCCATGTCTTGAACTAGTGGAGGCTAACTCAGCGTCCAGCTCTTCAAAAAGGTGAACGCTAGGAATTAGGTAGACCCTGTCAAAGGGCCTTCAAATTGCTGTCGGTTACTTTTGTTTGTGCAAACCTCCAAAGGTCAAACTTCCTGTACACAATCCAATCGTCCAATCACATCAATTCTGGTTCTTCATGAATTGAACAGTTCTCCTTGCTCAACTCCAATAATTGAACTATTGGTCCAGAATGTCCAGTTTGAACGGTTTGAAGGTTTTGCGACCTTTTGCGGTCAAAAGTTTTGAAACGACCAATAGTTAAGACAAGTCTGCGCGTTTGAAGATTCAGGCGTATATATATATAGGACATGCATATATATATATATAACAGCAAAGGAGAAGAACTTATTCGTTTCGTCATTGTCAGAATATGCGCAGAATCTGCTTCTCACTAGAATCATCATGGAAGTGGACAGCCACCTGTTTGTCTGTTAGGATTTCATGGTCTTCCAAGCTGCCAGGCCATGCACTTCCATGACGCCAGGGAGTGTACCATGCAGGTTGAGTGCTTCATCAGGCTTCACGTTTTCCGTCAGTAGACCCCCTCGAACGCTACCTGCGAGCAAGCTCTCGTCGAGGAAGGGCTGGCAGCCCATCTCTTCGCCTCGGGCGACCCTGCAGCTCCAAACATCGATGATATCTATAAGTATATATAAGTATCAGAATGACAACAAACAGAAGCATGATGTTTTTATTTTTCTTTTTCTGTTTATGGTTGTTTTCTTTTTCTTTCTATATCTTTTCCCCCTTTTCTTTGGACCTTTCTTTCATTCATGGTGTGGCTGCCAAGAGCGATCTGCCATGCCAGCTCCGCTCCACGCGCCGACGACCCAGGTGTTCCATCCTCTTGGACTCCGGACATCTCGTCTTCCAAAGCCGACATCGCTCAATGGAAGCGAGAGTACGAAAGAGTCTCAAGAGTCTCAACTTGAGACCACATTTTTTTGGGGGACGTTGCCACTGAGAGAACCACAGAAAACCTCATGCCCAGAAAACAACATCATCCAAGTGACACGATCACGAAACAAATCAACCACTGAAAACAATGTGAAAACTACCATTGAACTCGAGAACAAATCGTTGACCCTTTTTGGGCGTTGTCCAGCTCTCGCGGTGAAACACAGCCGCCCAGGTGCACAGCAACGTTTGGATGGCAGGCGCTAGAAGGTCGAGGATCACAGGGATGCCTCGAAGACCGCCGTGGACGACGATGCCTTTCGACGACGACGACGATGCGGTCCGGTTCCGGTTCCGACGCACCGTTCGCGGGGGTCGCGACACATCCGCTCCCGGGTCCTGAAGAAGGGACGACCGGAACCGGAACTGGGAGACATCGGACGACCGTTCCGAGACCTTTGGAAGGCAGACCCACTCTACTACTGCCGTGAACATAAAGATTGAGTTGCAAAAGGGATTCCTTTGATCTTTGCGAGTATGATGCTTGGCAGGCGACTTGCTGAGATTTGAGCTGAACGAGAGGACCCTAGAAGAACTTCAATAGGATGGACAAATCGCCTTGCTTCCAATGCACCCATTGATGAACGGTCTTTACTACATTGCATAGCTGTAGTTCGATTCCACACCTTTATTTTGGGGGACAAAGTCTCCATTCCAACACAAGTCTCTCAAATGTGCTTCATTCAGAAACATTCATTTATCGGCCACAAACATGTTGAAACATCAGAGCCTTAGGAATATCACCGCTCTCAGTATCCTGTGACATGCCGTGACACGAAAGAGGCTGTGCCAAAGCACCAGCCTGAACATGTTATCAATTGGATCTTCCACCTCTGCTATCTTCATCTATCTTCTGCTCTTCTGTGGTCGACTTTTGAGCCGTTTTGAGAGAAACCCTTGCGTTTGCTTGGCGTTTCCAGGGAGGATTGCTAGAACATCACACACACACATCGATTGCCACACACGACCCACACAGTCACGCGGTCTTCTCATGAACCCCCGAAGCTTCGTCCCCGACCCCTCAAAGACACCGCTCGACGTGCAATGAACTTTTAGACCCATGTCACAAAAAATATAGCGTGTCACAAACCGGAAGCGAGGTTCGTTCCATTGCTCGCAAGAGCTGAATCAGTTGATTAGGTTCCACTCTAGTGACTACATTACCGGTGCAGTAGACCTTGGCTTGCAGGAACCGAGAGAATGCTGGGTCGGAGTACCAGAAATGATGAACATGGGTGAAACGATGAGAGCTCGTTAGCACTTTAGAAAGGCCAAAAAACTTGCAGGTGCGTGACTCTGGAGTCCCGGAGTCATTTCACAATCTCAATCCACCGTCTTCGTTGGGCAGTGGATGGAATGAGATTCACTGCCCCCCTGCCTCTTTTTTCCGAAGGGAAATTAAAGTGCAACGTATGAAAGCCCTAGAAACAGGTGGTGACACACACAGAGAGCCGATATCCGCGCTCAAGAGAGGTACTAGCCACCTAACAAGCCTTAGAAAGAAAGACAAGGAACACAAAAAGAGCAAACGAAGAGGGCAAGAGAGAAAGATAGGAGCAGTTACAAAGCCCACTAGTTATGAAACCTCCTAGTTACTGACTACTTAGCCGAATGAATTAGGTGCACTAGTTAGCGAGCGGGACTTTAGTCTTAGACTTCCCGGGTAGGAAGGAGTAGGACAGGAGAAGCAGAAGGAAAGGCACCAACACACAAGGGTGTTGAGTGCGACTTCCTTCTATTACCCTATATAGCGGGGGGGGTAAAAAGTATGAATTCTGTGCAAGGAGGGGGTGTGTGTGTGTGGCCCTAAGGCACTGCCGCAACCGGCGCTCCCTTGACTGAAAGACACCTGAAACCTAAAGAAAGGCCTCAAGAAAACGGAAGGCAACAGCAGGAAAGAAAAAACAAAAGAACCAAAGGAGATTATTTGGTTACTCGCCTATTGGTTCCCGGCTCACGTTGCTCACTCTCCTCACGCTCGGCCGTATACGGCACTCCCTTGACAAAAGTGTGTTTGACCGTATCAAAAGGTTTCCGTTGTTTCGTTTACGCACATGACGTGTCACTGTTCCATCTGTAGGTCAATCTCAGTAGGCCCTGCGGCATTCGATCAGCAATCTCCAGCAAAAACGACTCAAGCCTGTGGTATTCCCTTGACACAAGGTATCAAAAAAGTTTCGTTGTTTTGTTTATGCACATGACGTGTCACTGTTCAATCTGTAATTCGATCTCAGTGGGCCCTGCGGCATTCGATCAGCAATCTCGTGCAAAAACGTAAGCCAGTGGTAGTCAGAAAGAAGGTCACAGGAAGAAGAGAGGGAGAAATCAGTGGGAGTTCCCCAGAACTGGGTTTATGTCTATGTACACGCAGCACCCCTCGATGGGAACACACCACACCCCTCAGTGGGGCTCTGTGGCGACACACACTTAGATCGTTGCTCGCAAGAGCTGAAACAGTTGATGAAGTTCCACTCTAGTGACTACATTACCGGTGCAGTAGACCTTGACTTGCAGGAACCGAAAGAATGCTGGGTCGGAGTACCAGAAATGTTGAACATGGGTGAAACGATGAGAGCTCGTTAGCACTTTAGAAAGGCCAAAAAACTTGCAGGTACGTGACTCCGGCGTCCCGGAGTCATTTCACAATCTCAAACCACCGTCTTCGTTGGGCAGTGGATGGAATGAGATTCACTGCCCCCCTGCCTCTTCTTTCCGAAGGGAAATTAAAGTGCAACGTATGAAAACCCTAGCAACAGGTGGTGACACACACACAGACTTAGATGGTTGCTCGCAAGAGCTAGGATCAGTATGAAGTCCCACTTTAGATGCATTAGACCTTGACTGAAAAGGAGTGCAAACAGAAAGGCGATGAGTCAGCAGAGTTGAAGGTGTTTGAACACTGTTTTGGAACTGCACGGCAATAGGCAACTAGACCTGATTAAACATTGAGCAGGTACACATTCAGGCGTCCCTGAATGCATCCACCAGTCTTCCGTAGCTTCGTTGGGCAACGTAGGAAGACCGGTCGTTGTTGACCCCCTGCCTTGTTGACATTTCTTTGAAACAGGTGTGGACACAGACACACACACCAGGCCGCTATCGGCGCTCAGGAAGTTTAGTAGTCACCTAACAAGCCTTAGCAGGAAAAAGAAAAACAAGACAGAAAGAAAGCCGAAGAGGGCAGGAGAGAAAGGTAGGCGTAGTTACGAACCCCCTTAGTTACGAACCCTCTTTAGTTACCGATTACTTAGCCGCTCCCGCCTGTTGAAACACTTGATTGAAACAGGTGTGGACTTATGCACGCACCAGGCCGATTTCGGCGATCAGAAAATTTTTAGTAGCCACCTAGCAAGCCTTAGCAAGAAAAGAAAAGAAAAGACAGAAAGAGAAACCGAAGAGGGCAGGAGAGAAAGATAGGTGTAGTTACGAGGCCCACTAGTTATGAGAGTCTGTTACTTACAAAAACGTGCAGAAGCTAGCGAGCGGGACTTTTGTCTTATACCGCCCGGGTAGCTAGAAGTAGGACAGGAGAAATAGAAGGAAAGGCACCAACACACAAGTGTGTTGAGTGCGATTTCCTTCTATAACCCTAGATAGCGGGTGGGATAGCAACGGAGGCCAGGGGCAGGGAGGGGTGGCCCGAAGGCATTGTCATCAGTGACGTTCAAGGAAAGCCGATTTGGGCCCGCGCACCCTTGTCTAAAAGTCTAAAAGGCACCTGAAACCTAAAGAAAGGCCTCAAGAAACGAAAAGCAACAGAAAGAGAGAAAGAGCCCAAGAGCATGAAAAGCACGTGCAACAAAAAGCCGTCTGTGGTTTGACATGCCTGAGTCCCAAGCCCCGCCTGTGATTACTTAGACGGTCCCGCCTGCGATTACCTAGTCAAGCAGACTGTACAGGTGAATACTTAGACACATGTCCGAAAGTGCAAATCCTGATTGGAGCGTAAGTCTCAGTGAGCCCTGCGGCATAGTATCAGCGGTCGTGCAGAACAGGCAATCAAGGGAAATTCAGAGAAGTCCCAAAGCAGAGACGAAAGAATCGGAATTGATCCCCCAGGATCTGGGTCTGTGCACATGCGGCGCCCCTCGATGGGGATCACACCACAGCCCTCAGTGGGACTCTGTGGCGATACACACTTAGATGGTTGCTCGCAAGAGCTAGGATCAGTATGAAGTCCCACTTTAGATGCATTAGACCTTGACTGAAAAGGAGTGCAAACAGAAAGGCGATGAGTCAGCAGAGTTGAAGGTGTTTGAACACTGTTTTGGAACTGCACGGCAATAGGCAACTAGACCTGATTAAACATTGAGCAGGTACACATTCAGGCGTCCCTGAATGCATCCACCAGTCTTCCGTAGCTTCGTTGGGCAACGTAGGGAGACCGGTCGTTGCCCCCCTGCCTTGTTGACATTCCTTTGAAACAGGTGTGGACACACACACACACACACACCCATGTTACCCAAACACAACCCGTCTTCGATCGGTGTCGTCCTGACACATTTGTGTGTCTGACCACGGGGAAGCTCTGCATCCCAGTCACCGCTCTCCAGCAGCTTCTGCGGTGGCCGCGACAGCCTCAGCCGCTTTCGCCCAAGGGCCGCAGCATCGGCAAAGGGCCGCAGCAGCGGCCACGGCAGCCTAAGAGGATCGGATATGATCGGTGTGGGGTCGCCTTTTTGTGAATGTTGTTTCTATTTTCTCTTTATCTTCTGTGTTTTATTTAGAGCATGTGTCTGGATGCCTATCTACTTTAATTGTGGTTTACAGGTAGTGCGTTTGTCTTTCAACCATTCTTTTCTTTGCTCAAAAACTATAGAGGCTTTGGGAATGCAGAGTTCGCTTCTGTTGGGGTCCCTATCATGACTCCTCTCAGACTCCAATAGGAGACATGGATGGATCAAAAACAACAGCGGCCAGGCTACGTTTGAACGGAGAAAGGGGCCACGCGAATCCGAGCGTCTCCGAACCATCCCCATGGGACTTGCAGAACTGGTGGGGCAGCCTCCTGTGCAACAACGTCCATGCACAAAAAACCGCTGATCTCAAACAAGAGTGCCAAGCAACATACTCCTGTTGAAGCAGCCCCGAATTCTAGCCATAGTTGGTTCTGCAAAACCATTGGTGGCGGAAACAAAAAATAGTTTGTCAAACTGAGACTGCCTGCCAAAAGGGACTTTTTGCCAATGCAACATAATGTCCAGAAACAGCTCTGTTCGAGGGTTGATGGAGCAAGGCTATATAATCACACAATCACACCTTGTCAAGGCTAGTTCTTCCAAAAGCTGCATAGACTTCTTTTGAGTCCTAATGTCAAGGTGCAAGAATCAGACCTCTCCCCTCACACCACCGGGTATCCTAATTTGCTCTTGCAAGGAGTTCGCCAGACTCGTTCGTGCCACCAAGGACCCAGTGTGTCGAGACGCGTGGACGGAGTCCGATCCACACTTAGGCAGTGAGTTCGTTGACCCCAAAGTTTTGGAAGCTCCTAACTAGCACAAATCAACGAACTCCTGCATAAGACAAAGAACACACCAATGAACATCACACCCTTTTCCAACACAAATCCTAAGGCACAACCTGCAGTGAGGCAAGGCGCAGGTCGTCGGAGAGATTCTCCAAGGTGGTCAAGAGAGTCTGGACCTGGTTGGACGGAGCCGCTCTCTAAATCGGACAGAATCCTCCGTTTTGGTGCCAAACCCATGGAACTGGTCTGGAGCCTCTACGACCCTGAGGTTGTTTGCTCCTCCTGGGTGTTTACAGTGTTTACACTCATGCCATTTGCGGAAACACTGCGGGTGCACAGCGCGCAACCACCTCGTGCGGCGGACTCGAGTGAGACCAAGAGTTTCGACAAAAGAATGAGACCAAGACTCGGCTTCCACATGACTCACCCAATATGCGAATGAAAAGGATCTTCACATGGCTTGGGACCCTCAGCACAATCCAAACATCCACAGTGACCCATCACCCTTCCCATTCACCAACCAAATGGATCCAAAGGGCGGGTAGTTCCCCTGTTCCAACTCAACCTCTCATCGGCCACACCAACAAAACACATCAAATTGCACATGTCACATGGTCACATCTATTTGGACTCACTAGGAACAAGTGCATCGCTTCTAGTAACAAGTGCCTTACTAGTAG